GCAACACTTGGAGGAAAAGGCGTGCTCAAAGCCTCATCCCAATTTGGAGTCACTCAAGACATCCTTGATTAAGGCAGCCGCCGATATTGACATGGACCTCGTTCGTGCTGCGATAGACGACTGGCCGCGCAGATTGAAGGCCTGTATTCAAAATCACGGAGGTCATTTTGAATAAACTTTAGTGTCATAAGAATCTATGTTTTGTTAAGTTCATTTTGGTATATGAATGATTACATAAATGAATAAACTTGTTTCAATTATTTTACATTAAACATGTGACAGAATTTATGACCTGACTAGGTATATATGTTTCGGTTTGAAGGTTGGGGTAGCCGTTGTACTGTAAAAACGGAGACCTAAGAACTCATATCTTAAGGTGGGTGGCATTAACGTTGTCGTCTATGGGGTCCAGTAACCACTTAACATCAGATGGGCCGTGAGCTCGTCCACCCGTCTAAGCAACAACAAAAAATTAACAGCAAGTAACATTGTTGAACAAATCGTAGAATGTTTATATTCAATGTCAGCACAAAGTTTAATGAAAAAATTCACATGTTTTTTTTGGTTAATCACAATAAACCTGTCTTTTGGAGTGAAGTTATAAAGAGTCTAAAAATTATTGCAAAAAAAAAAAACGATACTATTATGATATTACGGTTTGGAATTGACCATTTGTTTTTTTTTTAATAAATTGAAATAGACAATACCGAATGGAAACAACCTCGAATTTACATTCACAAACGGCCACCACTAACTGGTTTTGGGGCCTACGTAGCAGAAGGCTGTCTAACAGCGGCCGGTGATAACGAACAAAAAGTTTTTAATGGAGTAAACAAAGGATATTATATTAAAAAATTTTTTTTATCTGTGATTAGATTTTTTTTAATAGTGCTGTGCTTCGCCCTTTTTTTGAATTTTCATTGTTACTGTGCTCTGTACCCCAACAAATGTTTTAGCTGCCTAATCTGAATTACAGGTAAGTAATATAATTCAATTAAATTTAATTAGATTGTTAATTTGATAAATACATTTTTATGCAATTTTTATTGTATTGTGAGTCTTAAGTTCTTAAGAAAATTAACAAGAATAAATTCGCAATATTTTGTGCACATGTGGTTATTTTTGTTTTGCGATTCATTAATACGAGGTAATTGCACCTATTTTTAATGTAGACGTGATACAAAAGTAAACGAAACATCCGAAGTTGTAACGTTACTATAAATTTAAGTAAGTTGTTAACTTATTTTCTCCTTTATTTAGGAGAAAATAAATTTTGAAAGCAGTTCTAATTAGATGTTCTTTTCTTATATCTTTAGGATAAATAGAAAGGGCACACAGAGAAACTTAGTTGAGCGCTTAACAGAGCCCATAGATACGGCGCTTTTTTTTTTCTCTTTTGTTTTATTGTCTCGTAGCGATCTGTTTTTACGGTGCAATAGACGCGATTTACCCACTTTGAAACTTGACGTCGATACTACAAACACAACGCAACAACAGTTATCCTACTACCCTTCTACGTAAACTATTGTTTCTCTGCAGAAATCACCATAGAGATCACATGACATGGCTTGTCAATTAATTCAATCTAGCGATTAGCGTAATTTACGTTTTAGTCCATAGTAAGGCTTGTGCGCAGTTTCACTCGCGTTATATTAGTATATTTTGGTATTAATAGTAGTATTTAGTAATTTAGTACAAGCTCTTTTTTTATTGCTTAGATGGGTGGACGAGCTCACAGTCCACCTGGTGTTAAGTGGTTACTGGAGCCCATAAATATCTACAACGTAAAGCGCCACCCACCTTGAGATATAAGTTCTAAGGTCTCAAGTATAGTTACAACGGCTGCCCTATCCTTCAAACCGAAAGGCATTACTGTTTCACTTCAGAAATAGGCAGGGTGGTGGTACCTACCCGCGCGGGCTCACAAGAGGTCCTACCACCAGTAAAAGCTCGTGGACTTCAGAAAATAATAATAATATTTTATAATATTATTTAATTTAAAAATGTGGTTTGCTTTTGTTCTTGTCTCGGGTATTTGTTTAAAAGTCTTCGGGGCCGTTGAATGTTATTTTGGGGAAAAAAATTGCGGAAAAATACGAATTTTTCGAATTCAAAGTTTCCTATTACACTCTCAGGTTGAGCCCGTACGCTCACTTACCCGTCCGTACGAGGCCGGAATAGCCCCTTAGACTATCAGTGAATAGGTAGGAAAAAAATATTTGAAAACAAACATGTCGATCCATTGCTCCGTGAAAGTAAGAACAACTAGAAAACAACTGTATTCAGGGTTTTTATTTATTGTCAGATTAGAACACGACACGCTAAAATTGTTATAGTCTGAATATTATTAATTTAATTTAAATTTATGTTCAGTCAAGTATTTAATTAATAATTTCGAGGCTATCTCTCTGCAATCAACATAGCACAGGCATTATTGATTGTTTTTTTAAGGGATTTTATGACCTAGTAACTAAGACCTTTAGGTCAAGTCTTATTTTAATGTTAATGAAAACTTTTTTATATGAAAAATGATATTATGAAATGAAGTTGATTAATATCTGAAGTCGTCGTGGCCTAAAGGATAAGACGTCCGGTGCATTCGTATCGAGTGATGCACTGGTGTTCGAATCTCGCTGGCGGGTACCAATTTTTCTAATGAAATACGTACTCAACAAATGCTCACGATTGACTTCCACGGTGAAGGAATAACATCGTGCAATAAAAATCAAACCCGCAAAATTATAATTTGCGTAATTACTGGTGGTAGGACCTCTTGTGAGTCCGCACGGGTAGGTACCACCGCCCCGCCTATTTCTGCCGTGAAGCAGTAATGCGTTTCGGTTTGAAGGGTGGGGCAGCCGTTGTGACTATACTGAGANCGCCCCGCCTATTTCTGCCGTGAAGCAGTAATGCGTTTCGGTTTGAAGGGTGGGGCAGCCGTTGTGACTATACTGAGACCTTAGAACTATATCTCAAGGTGTGTGGCGCATTTACGTTATAGATGTCTATGGGCTCCAGTAACCACTTAACACCAGGTGGGCTGTGAGCTCGTCCACACATCTCAGCAATAAAAAAAAAAAAAAAAAATAGAACATCGCATAAAATGACATGAAAACCAAATGAAATGAGATGAGATGAGATGAGATGAGATGATATGGGATGAAATACAATCTCAGTAAAATGGTGGTCATTTACTGAGACTTTTTCAGTGGACTTTTTAGAGGATGCCGAGAAGTAACGTCCAGCGGCTTTGTTTTATTTTCCCACATTTGTGCACTTTCACAGATATTAAACAGTTAATAAACCACCGTTATTGCACATTGAAACTTGAAGAAACACTAAATAGACAAAATAAAACAAATCACACAACTTCACTCCTCGCGTTCCCGCTAAAAAGTCTAGGCCTTATTAATGACATATAAAGGTATGGCCAATTTGGGAGAACGAATAATACCAGTATTTGAGAAATTATCGCTACATACACGTATGCTAAAGAAAACTTAAATAATGTTAATAGAGGAAAGTTTCAACACATAATTAGCATGTTCAAGAATATTGGTGCGTAAATGAATCATTTCGTCAGTAGTATTCGAAAATGATATTAAACTAATGATAATGATAGTAAACCGCATCATTTTGTGTAATGATCGATTATCGAATTATTGTCTTCCTGCAGAATACTTTTTGTAAATATTTTAATTTTTAATTGAGAGATGTTTTTTTTAAATTTCACCTTGAATAATAAATGGAAATCTGCGCTGTTTTTGATTACTTAGATTGAGAAATATTTAACACTTTATTGCACAAAAAAAAAGTACAAGGTATAAGTATTTCCTGCCAGCGCATTCTTCAATTCGAAAGCTCAGTAGATGATATTTGTAGGAGTGCAAGTAAGTTAAAAAATAAAAAAATACAGTTATAATATGTTCCTACTTGTGCAATTATTTAAAAGTCTCGTACATATCATGTCCTTAATTTGTCAATATTATATGTTAACAGAAAAGATATATACATATTTTCGTAACTTATTTTCACCTTGTTGACTTATTTTGAAGTCATTTTGGAGACGTCATTGTCTCAAGGTTAAGACGGCTCATGTACCCGAATTAAGCAATGCTACTGTACCGTTGTTCAAGCTCGTAGTCAGATGACAATTTTATTAAGGACTAGCTGTCCCGTCCGCTTTGCTGAGCATTTAAAATTAACAATGTTATTTCTCACCTCCACACACCTCCACCACAAAGATTCTCATTATTAACGCCCCTGCAACTGATGTAGGGAGTCCAACACTCATATAAATATTAGCCTATTCATTAAGTACATGTATTTTCTACATGGATACATGTAGTACATGTAGTTTCAAGTCAATCGGGTGCATGGTTCAGTAGTTATAACGGAACATCCGTAAAAACCACTGTAGATTTATATATTAGTACAGATTATGTACTGAAAAAATGTTCACGAACGATTTCGACAATGAAAGGAATAACATCGTGTAATAAAAAGTAAAATCACAAAAAATACAATTTACGTATTTACTGGTATCTTGTCAGCCCACACGGATAGGTACCACCACTCAGCCTATTTCTGTCACGAACCAATAATGCGTTTCGGTTTGTAGGATGGTCAAACGTTGTACCATAGAATTGTGACTTAGAACTCATGCTTCAAAGTGGGTGGCGGAATTTACGTTTTTGGTGTTGATTGGCTCTGGAAGCCAATTAAACCCAGGGAAGCCGTGAGTTCGTTCAGCGCTCTAAGCAATAGAAAACCTTAGTGATAAAGAAATAACACTGTGTAATAAAATCCAATACCACAAAATAAAAATAAAACCGTGTTTATTATAGGTACCATACCCTGCTCATACCAGCCGAATAGTTTCCAAACTGTTATATAATATAATTAAAGGCTATCATCACTCGTATTTTAAGAGTAGCATCATTCGGTTTCCTATGCCTTTGAACCTCTAACCACTTAGAACCAATTGGATCTTGTCTATTTAGCTATGGCATAAAGAACGCCATGCTACTTTGTATATTTATTTACGAAATGTCCGTAAGCTTTAAACAGACTAAAAAGCCTGGAAATGTTGTACAAATATGCTGAAGCGAAGTTTGTTTGCAAATTTGGCATAGCTCACCTCTATGAGCGATAGCAACGAATCTATTGAATCTTTTTTTTTTGTTATACCTTAGATTGGTGGACGAACTCACAGCCCACCTGGTGTTAAGTGGTTACTGGAGCCCATAGACATCTACAACGTAAATGCGCCACCCACCTTGAGATATAAGTTCTAAGGTCTCAGTATAGTTACAACGGCTGCCCCACCCTTCAAACCGAAATGCATTACTGCTTCACAGCAGAAACAGGTAGGGCGGTAGTACCTACTCATGCGGACTCACAAGACGTCCTACCAGCAGTAAGAATCTCCATCAGGTGGGCTCGTCCGTCTACAACAGAAATAAAAAAAATACCAAGAAAATAGGTTGGGTGAGCCATTTTTTTTAACGCTTGTGATACCATTTACGGGTACCCGGTCGAGTGGGGTGAGTTGGGCGAGCCCCTGGGACCTTTGATGTTCATGAGGTTCGGTGGCCACTCACAGTCAGACAGGCGATTCGTTTACATTCGAAGGCAAAAAAGCAGTATGAATAACAACTTTCTCTCCGTAGTGGTTATTGTATTTAATTTGCAAATGATCCTCCTCCGTGCGTCGTATTCCTCAGTTCTGAGGGTCGTGACCTTTACTGAGCACTTTTGTCAGGACTATGATACTGCAATATAATAAACAATGTAAGGTTTATAAGGCTGTGTGACATTACGAAGCTTGGATGATAAGCCTCGATAAGCCACAATAACATTTCAAGGTCTCGAATGTATTGTCGTGAGCTTAAAGCACGATCGATATATTGTTTATGCAAAATTGTTTGTTTAGTTATATGTACTGCGATTTTCAAGAATAAAATGAACTTTTATTATATTTTATACGAAAATACGTAAATGTAAACATTATTATAATTTTATATTAATTTATTGTTAACGATTGTGTCAGATTTTTTTATTACGAAGTATGTCCAATGTTCTGAGTGATTAATTGAATTCGCATTCTTAATTCGGAGAAAGGCCTTCAAATTATTTTTGAACTATAGACGGAACGATTGCACAAAAAAAAAACCTATCGTAATAAGAAATACAATAAAAATATGCTCATGTAGTATATTGTGCTTACACACTTACTAAGTCGTCGTGGCCTAAAGGATAAGACGTCCGGTACATTCGTGTTGAGCGATGCACCGATGTTCGAATCCCGCAGGCGGGTACCAATTTTTCTAATGAAATACGTACTTAACAAATGTTCACGATTGACTTCCACGGTGAAGGAATAACATCGTGCAATAAAAATCAAACCCGCAAAATTATAATTTGTGTAATTACTGGTGGTAGGACCTCTTGTGAGTCCGCACGGGTAGGTACCACCGCACAGTAATGCGTTTCGGTTTGAAGGGTGGGGTAGCCGTTGTGACTATACTGAAACCTTAGAACTATATCTCAAAGTGTGTGGCGCATTTACTTTGTAGATGTCTGTGGGCTCCAGTAACCACTTAACATCAGGTGGGCTGTGAGCTCGTCCACCCATCTAAGCAATAAAAAAAAAAGACGAACGATTGCACAAAAAAAACCTATCGTAATAAAAAATACAATAATATTATGCTCATGAAGTATATTGTGCTTACACAGAAACTCGTATCGCTGAGATCATGTAAATTTATTAAATGTAATTAATAAAATGCCCTTGTTCTTAATACAAATAAGCATAAGGTATCGTAAATTTTTAGATATCTTTTAATTGGCTCTATTTAGTTCATTATTTATTATTTATTTATTTAGACACACCAACAGCAATACACACAAAACATTCAACCTTAAAATTAACATGTATAAAATTATGTACTGGTATGTAAGCCAGTTACAGGCATGTATGCATTTTGCCACGTACCATCCGGCTATGGAATGAGCTCCCCTCCACGGTGTTTCCCGAGCGCTATGACATGTCCTTCTTCAAACGAGGCTTGTGGAGAGTATTAAACAGTAGGCAGCGGCTTGGCTCTGCCCCTGGCATTGCTGAAGTCCATGGGCGACGGTAACCACTCACCATCAGGTGGGCCGTATGCTCGTCTGCCTACAAGGGCAATAAAAAAAAAAAATGTACAGCAATCTTTTATAACAAACTATGACATGTTACAGCAATTTTACAAACAGCGGAAAAATAGGCTAAATTTATATGTTAACAGTACGATTATTAATATAATTGAATATTTTTTACAGTTAGCCCATCATGCCGGAAGAAACAATAACTTTTAGTTCTAATGAGAAATGGCGTATAAACCGGAACGTATTCGTTCTTGGTTTCGCTTTCATGATCCACTTCACGGCCTTCCACGGGACCGCCAACCTCCAGAGCTCCGTGAACAGCGACGACGGAGCCGGCACCTTCACCCTGGCCGCCATTTACTTCTCCCTGATCCTCTCGAATATATTATTACCGGCTGTTGTCATTAAGTGAGTTATTTAAGTTTTGATATTCAATAATGGTATGTTCTTTTTCAAATTCATTTCAAATTCGGTTATCTGTACTGTCACTAGGTCATTTTTACGCTTGGGTGTCCAACATTTGTCGAAATAAATAATAGTTTAAAAAACTAACAAAATACGCTATATACGCTAATAAATACGTTAATAAAAAGCGTATTTTGTTAGTTTTTTTTTAAACTATTATTTATTTTTCATTTTTTAGTCGAATTTCAATTATTATTATTTTTTCAATTATTTTTCTTATTATTGAATTGTCATCGGTCCTTAATAAGTATACCAAATTTCGAGTAAATCCGACGTTTTGAAGAGGGTCAGAATCATGTTCAAAGATACCGTTACAAACATACATACGTCTGAAGCTAATAAAAGCGTAATAAAAATGAGGAAAAGCGGAAATGGTACACCTGAAAACTATAATAGTGAGCTGGTCACCCTTATAAAATATTTGTCATTTATTAGTATTTATAAAACAATGAAACATTGAATTGTATGGTTTTTAGTCTAGACATTTTCTTTTCAGGTGGCTTGGTTGCAAATGGACAGTGTCAATGTCCTTCATCACGTATATGCCGTTCATAGCAGCGCAGTTTTATCCGAAGCTGTATACATTGATACCAGCCGGCATGATGGTCGGCTTTGGTGGCGGACCACTCTGGTGCGCTAAATGCACTTATCTTTCTGTGGTAAGTTTTGCAACTGCATTCTGGTACGTTCGATTGCTTTAATTCTCCTGGCGTCGATAATCCTCAGGTCGTGGCCTCATGAGGCTTTCTTGTCAAAATACATATATTGGGTTTCAGCGTCCTTCCACGGTAGTGCTTTTGGAAGAGCTTTAGTTCTTCGAGGCCGCTGAAGCCTTATTTGGGTCCGGCTGATTTACCGCCGCTAGACATTCGGCATTGACTGTTTTACGATAGAAAGGTCGAAATCCAACTCAACCCTCCTCTTTTCTCATCCGGGCTTGGGACCGGCATTGGCAGAGTTAACGTTACGGTACGCTCGACTGCTTTACACTTAGGTTTTCAGTACTTAAGCTTGTTAGAATTAGTATCATGGGTACTATTTACTACTGGTGGTAGGACCTTTGTGAGTCCACGCGGGTAGGTACCACCACCCTGCCTATTTCTGCTGTGAAGCAGTAATGCGTTTCGGTTTGAAGGGTAGGGCAACCGTTGTAACTATACATGAGACTTTAGAACATATATCTCAAGGTGGGTGGCGCATTTACGTTGTGCATGTCTATGGGCTCCAGTAACCACTTAACACTAGGTGGGCTGTGAACTCGTCCACCCATCTAAGAAATAAAAAAAACTTGGTTGAATTGAACGGGCTGCTGCTATTAAATATTTGCAGGTTTATTTTCACTTGAGAAATGAATATTAAAAAAATGAAACTGCTGATACAAGTTCAATTGATTTATCTCGCCAATCGAAGCGAATGTTTGTTATGTACCTATTATCAGAGCAATCGGTACCTGACCGTCCGATTTGAACACCGTCACAGTGGCTTTGTTTGAGACGAATACACCGGACGTCTTATCCTTTTAACAACAAGATTTTTTTATGACTGCTTAAGAATGCTGTCAGCAAAACATTGAAAATTAATTATTATCATTGATTTATTTTTAGAGCTCCCGATACAATGAAATTATTTGATTTTATGTCACACTTTTGGAATATTTTTTTTTTAAATTGTGTGTCTTTTCTTTCTGGTCATTCATCCTTGTAACGATAGCTTTGGTTTGTCAGGCAGTGGAGGTGATATGGGTGTATTAACACATCATTGAAAATGTTCTAGTCACTTCTAACACAAAATATGAATGAGTTCAATTTTAGGCCTCTAATGGTGGACGCCTCGAAACACCATCCTACAGCTTATGACATTATTTATCTGCTTGAAGAATTGTTGATCTAAATCCGTAATAACGTTTGCTTTAAACATAATTATAAATTTAAATATATAAAAATGAATTGCTGTTCGTTAGTCTCGCTAAAACTCGAAAGCGGCTGGGCCGATTTGGCTAAATTTGGTCTTGAATTATTTGTGAAAGTCCAGAGAAGGCTTAAAAGGTAGATAAATATGAAAATGCTCGGAATTTAATAAAAATAACAATTTTATTTTCCCTTTGATGTGTCCCCCGTCGGACGGATTCCTTTTGTTTGTTTTAAGTTTATTTTATACAAAAGTTTAGATCTTTTATTTATCGATTGAGGCACTACGAAGTCTGCCGGGTCAGCTAGTTTCGAATAAGCATTGCGATTGAAAATCACAACAAAACACAAATCTGTGAACATAATAACGTATATCAATGCTCGTAAAAATTAGATCCACTTAGAATCTAATACGTTGTCAGAGATTTCTAGCTTATAAGGTGAGAGAGATACCCGAAGAGATGTTCTGACTGTTTACTGACCTGTTTTTCGATGTATTTTTAAAATATTTATTGCACAGTTATTTTACGTTTGAAATTGAAATGAGTGCGTCATGTATTTGAGTGTGAATGACGTATAATCATAAGTTAAGCCAGGCACCGTCCTCGTCGAACCCGTCGCGACGAAGGGCTTCGTCGCAAGCGACGGGTTCGACGAGCGAATTAACCCATAGACACAGCCCACTGAGTTTCTCACCGGATCTTCTCAGTGGGTCGCGTTTCCGATCCGGTGGTAGATTCTGCGAAGTACTGCTCTTGCTAGGGTCAGTGCTAGCAACTCTCCGGTTTGAGCCCCGTGAGCTCACCTACAAACGTTAGGGTGAAGCTGAAATACCCTTTCAAGGCTATCAGCATAGGTAGGAAAAAAAAAGAAAAAAAAAAGTTAAAAAAAACTCTTAAAATTGAGCCTCGTGTTTATTTCGTTCACCTTATTTTCGCTCTATAAAGTTTCCGACATTTCGAATAATTTCTAGTTTTCGTGTTCACGGAAATATATCAGAAATTATGCACTGAATAAATCGGATTGAGATCTTGCCATTGTTGAATTTCCTTTAAAAATCATTTCAGATATCCGAACCGTATTCTAAATTATCAGGAATTCCAGCTGAAGTTTTGGTGGTGAGGTTCTTCGGGCTGTTCTTCATGTTCTACCAGATGGCGCAGATATGGGGAAATCTTATATCTTCGGCGAGTAAGCTGTTTTTTTTTTCGATTTATAAATGTTTTCCCTTTAGTTTTTTCAGATTACATAGATTCTGGTTATACCTATTTAGGTTAGCTATTGTGAAAACTAACGTAAATTTTATAGGTACTACTAATACTAAATACTATAATATTATGAAATATTATGAATGCCAAAGTGAGTTTTATGTTATTCTTTCACGTCTTAACTATCTATCCTATGATTATGAAAATTTATAGACATTATCAGGGGCGGGATTTTACATAAAAAAGTAAGCTTCCCGATCTTTATTTCGTCTCTCACAACGCGAGCTAAGTTGCGTGTAAGGTTTAGCTATGAATACAGTTCACTAAATTATTTTTAGCATGACAATAAAATCATTGCTTGACAAAACCTTGAGAGTAGGTCAATTAAGCCAATACAAAAAAAAAACCATGTTTGACATTTCCCGAGTTCGTTTTTTCCTCAATAAGTAATTGCAAAATTTTATACATTCATTCAACAAACTAAGCTATGAATTATCCTTAAACAAACATAGAAAAGGCGATAAAATTGATAATCCAGAAAATTCTTCACAATCCCTATCGCGCAAAACTTTTAAAATAGAAGTTCAAAGCATACGTTTTTGACATGACTGGTATTAAATCTAATTTGGACATGTACTAATTAACAAACATTTTTATAAACTTCGGAAAACAATGTTGAATATAATGATAATATGACATCGTGTGTGATGAATTATTTATTTATTTCAGTCTTCTTACAAACTAACATTAGAACCAAAATATCTGTAAGGTATTAACTTAAGTAGTTTATAGCAGCAGCTACAAAACGCTGCAAAATATCATGGAATATATCCATGAATAGAAATTTATTAGAATGGCACCAACCCATATCTTTCCGCAGGTGTCGTAAAAGCCCACTAAGGGATTGGACCACTCTCTAAGTATTATACCTGCTATTTCTACTTATTTCTTCTAAGCTAAGGGTGAGATATCCATTATCCCATGATTTCGACTCTATGTTCTTGTAACATTGTCTCGCCGTACATCTAGGGGGCCGTGTGTTCATTAACTTACATATTGTATCTGGTCAAATCAAGCACACTTTGCTGGTCAATCTTGGATTTCACTTTGCTACTAAACTTCAGGTCAATCTGTCGATTTATTAAAAGCGGTTGCGGGGTATCTGATGAACATACGTATACACATCGAGTTTTCTAAATAAAATCATATTTGTCCTTCTCTTTTCAGTTTTATCGTCATCACTGGGAGAGGCGCCTTTCTTGAACGAAACTATTCCGTCTACTGCGATGACGCTGATCACTAATGCCTCCGAAATACCGCCTCTTGACTTTAGAGCCACATGCGGAGCTAACTTCTGCAGCAGCAGTGCTTCACACGTAAGGGGTAAACTTAACAGAACGAGTAGAGAAGCTTTTCGAGTTAATACTCCAACTTCCTCATGTCTGTTGTAGAAGAATTCTCATCTTATCTTTTCTTAATAATTCTTTTTGGGTGTCGGTAACCAGGGAAACTAGTACGACATTTTAGAAAAAAAAAAAACAAATATGTATATTTGTTTTCTGAGCCCAAACGTACATTTGTATGAACAACCAGATTACCTATTTTCTGCACCGAAGTAGTTGTGTGTTCTCATTTGACCCCTTCAAAGCATAGCCACTATAAAATGGTAGGTTTAAACGGTAGGCAGCAGCTTGGCTTTGTCCCTGGCATTGCTAACGTCTATGAGTGACGGTAACCACTCACCATCAAGTGGGCTGTATGCTCGTCTGCCTTCAATGTCAATTAAAAAATGCATTGGGCCTTCGAAGACATAGTTTAACACTTTGATGTCTATGGGCTGATATAGTGCTATATATCTCTTTTATTTCTGGTCGGAGTTTTTGTGAAAGGTATCCGAAGTCAGGGTGTACCTACTGGTCATTTTCCTATATGTACGTTTGCATTACTCATAACACAAGGGAAAGAACTAGCTTTGCAGCCGCTGAATGTGGAATTTTAGTTGTCTTCTAATTAGTATCATCGAAGCTCTATGGCCGTATTTCCAGATCGAAGTGGAATTTGGGAAATGATTCGGTGCAACGAAAAAACGACACTAAAAGGAAATGAACATAGACAACATCTATCTACATGCGAGAGAATGAGATAGAACGCTTCTAGTATTATAGCACATCTGTTTTTTATTAAACTGTGATGCGCGTGAAAATAATATGCTTTTTATGAACATTATGGCTAAACTTTATCCAGGGTAACAGTAACCTCAAGCCACCTTCCACCGCGAAGATCAACTTGATAGCCGGCGTATACCTTGCGTGCATGGCCATTGCTGTTCTTCTGGTTGCTGTAGGGGTCGACGCACTAACCAGGTTATAACTCAACACGTACATTTAAAACAGTTTTTTATAGGTTCAATATGGATAATATTCTGGCGACAACTATCATAGAATAGAAATATTTTTTTTCTAAATAAACCTGCCAGTACAAATATTTTAAATCAGGCAAAAACTTCTAATTGGAGATATTCTCTTTACCGCTTTCCAAAAGTTACCGCAAGTAACTTCGTCCCTAAAACCCCACCTAGGCTCGCTTCGAAATTCCTCAATTGAACTGTTGGTGACACACCACCATGATTATGTCAGTCGCGACGTGATTGTTAGACATTGAGGCTTACAGCTCATGTTCCAACGTGGGCAGCAATATAGTCTTTCTGATGTCTTACTGGTTTTAGGACCTCTTGTGAGTTGGCACGGGTAGGTACCACCACCCTGCCTATTTCTGCCGTGAAGCAGTAATGCGTTTCGATTTGAAGGACGGGGCAGCCGTTGTAACTATACTGAGACCTTAGAACTTATATCTCAAGGTGGGTGGCGCATTTACGTTGTAGATGTCTATGGGCCCCAGTGACCACCTAACACCAGGTGGGCTGCGAGCTCGTCACCCATCTAAGAAAAAAAAGGCTATGGCCCTTAGTATCCATTTGTTGTGAGATTAACGGTGAGCTCATTTATCCGATGTATAATCCGATGTATAATAATATGTCATATATCCGATTAAATGAGAAGAAGAGCTGATATTTCGTGATTTTTTTTTAATAAATAATATACCGTGGGCTTTCTGTTGGGATATTATTAGCAAACAACTTAATATTAAAATCTAATACCTAGGTACACATCAGGTCGTACTCCCGCAAGTCGCGGTAAGTCCGGTCTCCAACTCCTGGCGGTAACGCTGCGTCAGCTCAGGCACAAGTACCAGCTTCTGTTGCTGCCCGTCATAGGGTACATCGGCGCCGAACAAGCTTTCATGGCTGCGGACTTTACACAGGTAAGATATAGATAGCATCCTCAAGTAATAAATAATAGTTTAAAAAACTAACAAAATACGCTTTTATAAAAAATAAAAATTTATTAAATTTGAATTAAAAATAGTGTGAAGTGTGTAGAAAAAAGTTAATTTTTTTGTAAAAAAAGCGTGATGTGCACGGTATCAGTAGTTATAAATATTTTATAATATGAACAGATACGAGTAAAAGGGTTATTCTGATAATATCCTGAAAAGCACCCCACGCTTTTTTACAATAAAATCATTTTTTCTTACACTATGTTTAATTGAAATTAAAAAAAAAAAACTATTATTTATAAAAGCGTATTTTGTTAGTTTTTTAAACTATTATTATTTATTATCCATTTTTTAGTTGAATTTCAATTTTTTCAATTTTATTTTTATTTTGTTTTTAATATCGAATTGTTATCGGTCCTTAATAAATATATCGAATTTCGAGTTAATCCGACGTGTTTAAGGGGGTCAAAATTATGTTCAAAGATTCAGTTACAAACATACATACATACGTCTGAAGCTAATAAGAGCGTATTAAAAAGCACTAAGATATTTTATTTGTTACTCTGTGTCCTCAAAACAAATTGCTTTACTTAACATTGCCACCAGTTCTTGTGGTTCGGCCGATCAAAAGTAATGCTGATTATGAGCATAGATAATGCCAAGACCACAGCCAAGTCACTGCTTGCCGTTGAAGACTTTTAAACTTAGAAAAAGAGCATTTCGCAACGGTCGCTAATACGACCATCTTCAATTTTTCTATGGTGATGCGGTAATGTGTTTTGGCTTGCTAGGATGAACAGACGTTATACAAAACAGTCGAGATTTCGACTTCATGACTGGAGGTGGTGGTACAAACGTTGTGGTGCGGGCTTTAGTAACCATCTGCAATACCGTTCCATCTATTAACAATGTAAGCACAAACATACATAATATATTTGTTTATGAATGAGATTGTTTAATAAATAAATAAGATGTTTCATTACTACATATAATAAAATAGAATTTGTATGCGACAGGCTTACGTGGGTTGTGCCTACGGTATTAGTAACATTGGGTTCGTGATGATCTGCTTCGGAGCTTGGAATGCAATAGCCGCGCCCCTAGCCGGAGCACTCGTCAAGACGACAGGCCGGTATCCGGTCATGGTCACTGCTCTGGTAAGTAGAAGTTTCCAGATTAGACACAAGGACATAAAAAAAAACTGACGAATCCGTTTAAAAAGAGTTCCTTGTCAATACAACATCGAACCGCTTCTGATGTTAAGAAGTACTAGATAATAATGGAATTACCTAATATGCAAAAGGTTGGGTTAGGACTTCATTGTCACAGAGATGCTCGAAAGATAACCGTTTTTTTCCACGCAGTCCCATCCATTAGTGTCCGTTTTTTTAAATATGAATAGAAAAACTTCAAGGAGTATTTTTTTTATTTTTGTGATCAAACACCCAAAGGCCTTTAGACTATGAGTTGCAAGTGGATATAAGTTAGATGTATACTAGAGTGGATGATAGAGTGCAGTTTTCTTTTGAAGGTTTTAAATCTGTGTACCTTAACCGTGCTGCTGCTCTGGAGACCGAACCCTGATCAGTGGCTGGTGTTCTACGGCCTCGCTGCCGTGTGGGGAGCCGCTGATGCTGTTTGGCTCGTGCAAGTTAACGGTAAGACTGGGTTTTTAATTTACTGAGTGTTTCGCCGGTGCTTTCCATGGGTCTGATTCAGTAGTAGGCTAGTGTTAGCGAATCTTCTCAGGTTGACTCCTGTGACTTCATTTACTAGTCCGCGCATAGTTAGAATTAGCCCTTTAGGCTATCGATGATTAGGTAGGGGAAAAAGAGATCAGGTAATGCTTGGTACCCGTTCATGAATATTTGCCCAAGGGAAGCGAACCCACGATTATCAAATAATATGTATGATTTAACATATTTATCATATTAATGTAATAATTATAAAAGGTAGGGTACGGCCAATTTTCATGAAAAATTATAGTGTGCTTTTTAAAATTTACTTTTCTTAATAAAATTTGAACCTTCATTTGTTTATAGTTCATTTCACTGGTGGTAGGACCTCTTGTGAGTCCGCACGGGTAGGTACCACCGCCCCGCCTATTTCTGCCGTGAAGCAGTAATGCGTTTCGGTTTGAAGGGTAAGGCAGCCGTTGTAACTAGACTGAGATCTTAGAACTTATATCTCAAGGTGGGTGGCGCATTTACGTTGTAGATGTCTATGGGCTCCAGTAACCACTTAACACCAGGTGGGCTGTGAGCTCGTCCACCCATCTAAGCAATAAAAAAAAAAAAGTTGTTTACGGCAAGTCTAACGATAGTTATTGAGTAGTAATCATAGGTACCATAGGTATCAAATTATATAGGTACGTCGGCTTCTTTAATTAAGATATAATGACGAAGGATCCCGCCCTTCAGACCCAAAAGACTGCTTTGTAGATATAAGCAGGAGGGAGGTACTTATCGATGCGAGCATATACTTTGCTTTCAGCTCTATCCGGCATCCTATTTCCCGGTCACGAGGAAGCTGCATATTCTAACTTCAGATTGTGGGAAGCGACCGGTAGTGTTCTGGCTTACGGCAGCGCTCCGTACCTTTGTGTTAGAACCAGGTAAAATTGTCTAACCTAAAGATTTCTAAGTTGGTTTGTAGTCAGGCAGCGTTTAGAGTCGTCGTGGCCTAAAGGTTAAGACGGCGGGTGTGCTTGTGTCGAGTGACGCGTTTGTGTCGGTGTTCGAATCCCGCAGGCAGGTACAAATGTTTCCACGTTGAATGAATCATTAACATTGTATTATAAATATTATATCATCCAATCCAATCCAAGCCCGGTCTTCGGCTCTCCTCATCCACCTCTATCATATATTATTTATACTAATATTATAAAGAGGAAAGATTTGTTTGTTTGTATTGCATAGGCTCCGAAACTACTGAACCGATTTGAAAAATTCTTTCACTGTTTGGAAGCTACACTATTCCTGAATGACAAAGGACATCTTTTTTGAAAAAAAAAGGGATCCTTGCTAAAACTCCAATAATGTAACCCAAGGTGTATAAAAATTACTAAAATATTCTTTACATCATGTGACCTGCCATAGATGAAAACTATTGACGATAGAATAAAATAATGTATTATGGTTTTGTAGAACACATTATTATTTACAAAAAGTGTCGCGACAGCATATGTCTAACTATTATAGTTATGCCGAAATAAGTGTTAATTTCCGTCAAAAATCGTTAATTTTTTGTTAAAGACCCGAGCGGAGCCGGAGCGCGTCGCTAGAGTTATAAATATAATTTGAGAATTCGACTTCATGTATCAAGGTGGCTGACAGCATGTCATCATTTCTATGGCCTCCTATTGAGCACTAGGAAGGCAGAGAAAACAAAAGCAAAGAGCAACAGACTCAAGTCACTACTTACCGCTAAATAACAGAAGGTACCTAATAGGGTTGTAGAAAAATCAAATTGACTTTTAATTTACAGATTGCAAATATTGCTCGGTCTATTAATAGTAGGCTTCACTGGTTACACGATCATTGAGCTGATGGAGTATAGAGTGAAAAGGGCGCACCACCCCGAGAGGAACTTCGAACTGGTCGACAAAAAGGAAGATCTGGGACCATTTTAATATTAAGTTACAAATTTAGCAGTTCTCTTTAATGCTATGTTTTCAATGTATCATAATAGTATAATTATGGCAAATAAAATATTGATTTTGAAATGCGTTTTAAATGACTGTTTATTGAGTTTTTATTGCCTTTACTGATTTATTTTTTTATTGCTTAGCTAGGTGGACGAGCTCACAGCCCACCTGGTGTTAAGTGGCTACTGGAGTCCATAGACACGTACAACGTAAATGCGCCACCCACCTCGAGATATAAGTTCTAAAGTCTCAGTATAGTTACAGCGACTGCCCCGCCCTTCAAGCCGAAATGTATTACTGCTTCACGGCAGAAATAGGCAGGGTGGTGGTACCTACCCATGCGGACTCACAAGAGGTCCTACCACCAGTATGATAGACACTGTTTACAAAATAAGTTTATGTATATAAAAGCTTCGAACGATAATGTACCACTCCCGGGGAAGCTGAAGAAACCTTCGGATCACCAGTTATCCTTTTATTCTTTATTAATATAAAAAACACAGACACAGTTGGTATATCAAGCAATTACACCTACTCGGTAAGTAGCAAGCTCGGTCCTTTGTAGGAATCCTTTAAAATTTATTAACTTGTATGATAGTGCTATAATAAAATATCTCAGTGGAACTTTACATCCTGTTACGTCTCCTACACTGCCTGTTCATATATTCTTTAAATAAAAAATGGTACAAATAGGTATGAACTAGTTAAATGTTCTATGGAACATGTACCAGTGCCTATATGTTTTGGTTTATGAGAATATTCCATTATAGTCACTCTGGACATTTGTTCGGAGACTTTTAATGATGCCAAAATTATTAGGTTGGTTTGTTTTCATCATCATCATCATCATCAGCCTTTATCTGCCCACTGCTGGACATAGGCCTTCCCCAATGCCTTCCACACAATGCGGTCCTCCGCCTTCCGCATCCAACGACTTCCCGCCGTGCGCACTAAGTCGTCAGTCCAATTATAATATTATAAAAAAATCGTTTCATTTTCTGTTCATATATGCGTGTTATATGCATGCCTCGTTTATTCGGTTGCCTTAGTAGCACAATTGGTCACAGCAAAGCAAAGAGGGAATTCATTATAATTAATTCAAACACGTTCTTATTCTCAATAAAACACTGCTTTATTTTCACCACATAAATACTCGACTTCGGATCAAACTTAACTAAATAACTAAGTACGCGTTTATATAATGTGACTGAATCATTATAAACATTTATAATACAATCAAAATTTTATTCATAAAAATATACAAAGTCTTACGAAGGTTTTATTCATAAACCATTAAACCTGTTTAGTGGGCACATGTTGTTTATTTGAAAAAAAAAAAGATTTTGAATTCCATAGCTGTTTCTATTTCGTCTCGAATCAACATTCAGAAAGCAACAAATTCCTTGTTTAAGAACTTTCTTTATCTTTTCTTTCAAATCTTTAATTTTCGAACCCAATTTTTATTTAATAACTTCAACTAAAATAGGTTTACTAAGAGTTTATGAATAAACTATATGAATATACATACTTATCGTAAATAACGTCCGTATTATTAATTTAAAATCATAATTAAATTAGGTGAATCACATATTAAAATAAACATCATTATTTATTATCGTTCGTTAGTTATAATCTAGTCACAATTTTAATATTTAGATTTCGAATGAAATAGTTTCGCTCAGTACAAGCTTGCTGCCATTTTGTTGCTAAGTGATTTCTATCCTATGTTTAATTGTAGTTACAACCAAAAGTTTATTAAGTAAACGTCCAATTGTCACTTCATAATCGATGCATGTTCAATAACTAATATAACAGTATTATTGAATTTCGATATAAAATTTAAAACAAACTGTGACGAATTTAATACTTTTCTTAAAATGTATTCTATATTTAAAGTTTAAGGAAGACACGTTAAAAGGCTTTAACTACATATTATTTACAATCGAAATAGCACCTTAAGAAATTGACAATAATGTATAATATAGAATCTGTAAAACACCAGGATTTTAATTTTAAGACAGAAATTTTCGAAAATAAGAAGTTATACACAGTTTTGGCTTCACTATCAAATTTTATATTAAGTAGTATTTTGGCGTCTGTCCGCTATTTTAGATTCAACAATCAGCACTAATTTTTCAAGTTGACACATTTATTTTGAAGTGAAACTTCTTTAGGCGCTTTCAGAGTAAAATTTAACGCGCGACAGATTCGTTACGGCTAGAGATAAAGGATGCAATTTTGGAAGAGCGAGATTGAGATAATAGACAGCGTCTCGCAAATTACTCGACCGTGGAGAGTGGGAAAAAACAAATCGAGCTAAGTCGTTTCTCTGATACACAGCATTTCCTAAGAAATTTATAGGGATGAAAAATGAAGAAATGCATAATACTACATACCGCAAAAGAAGTTTGACTTCTTTCACGTGCACCAAGTTGCACGCGCACAATTTTTGTTAGGTTATTGTAAAACTAATAACGAAATGTTTGTTGAACAGCGGACATTCTGCAGTCGATAAAAAGTAAATACGATATTGGCATTGACAATGATATTGGTCCTGATTTGTGTCTTTGATAAATTTATCATAAATATAACTTACAAAACATAGGTTTCTTTAAGATGTTCCTACTTAAGCAAATTAATTTTTTTTAGGGCGTATTTTAAAGTTTACTTTATTTCTTTTCAAGTCAGGACCCCCAGAAATTTTAAATTTTAATAATTTTAAAAGTAAAATCGATAAAGGACGTGTCTTGTTCTTTGTTTTCGATTACCACAATAACATATGAAAATATCAGTTCAATACACTGTATTTTTCAAAAAGGATTTATCTGTCAAATATTCTAGGAATGGCAACCCTTTTTCATTTAAGACACCTATATCGACTTGTGCACGCCCTGAAGCAAAATTCATCCGACATTAAGAAGACAGAAAGCAGGTTTTTAGGTTGCTATAAAAAATCTTCATAACCTTATTTGTTTATTAAAAATTTCACATAGTCTTGTTTTGATTTAGGTTTAATGAATTGCAATGCGAATGTTACATTAGTAATTGTGTCGATTGCAAGACAAACGCTTTCATTTTATGCTACATTAAGCCATTACACAATTTATTAAAAATCATTCACTAAATAAGCATCGGCGCTGTTTTATCGCTATTTTGGCAACTAAGGAGAGTACCACAGGTAAATAAATTACATGCACATATAAATGCTTAGATTATTAAAAAGAGAACGGTGTTTAAAGTTTCATCCGAGAATATTAAGTAGCTTTATAATTTTGATTTTGTCTAACTTTATTAAGGACTAGATTACTGGTTTTTTTTTTGTTTTAAGCGTCCCGTAAAATGGTTTTATTGTTTTTATTCGTTAAGTAGCCATAAATTTCGTAAAAGAAATTGGTTGTAAATCTTTTTTTATTTAGATCACATTAAGAAGTTTAGTTTTAAAATTCTATATAAAGTTCTCTTATATCGTTCAGCGCTATATCTAAACGAGCTGTGCATCAAAAATACACAATATAATCACGTAACAATATAAACGGATTTCACTAAATACACACTACATATATCTCTATGTACTACATACACTGTGTAATTATGTATAAATCTGAGCGTTTATCAGGTGTGATCAACATTTGTAAATGCTACATAAAATGAAATGTACCTAAACGTATTATATATATGTATTACGTTATATACAAACAGTTTGTGACCCTGTTATATTAGTAGCCTCGTGTTATGATTTATTACGATACTGGTAATTTATTTACATAATTATCAAAACTAGTTGCTCATTTGCACGACCGATTAGCACCGAAACATTACATATTATGTAATGTATGTAATGTACTTGAAGGGTGGGGCAGCCGTTGTAACTAAACTCGAGACCTTAGAACTTATATCTCAAGGTGGGTGGTGCATTTAGGGGGGAGGCGCGTTGTAGATGTCTATGGGCTCCAGTAACCACTTAACACCAGGTGGGCTGTGAGCTCGTCCACCCATCTAAGCAATAAATAAATCAAATGTTTACCAATTGTTGTACGTCCCTTTAGTTAGGCATTGGATGTGACAGATGAACAATAATGAAATTTAGTTTTGTATTGTATATCGAGGGCTGACACGTATTTGGTTTGAGAAACATTTCGATTAATTCACGACATATTTTTTTGTAATTAAAGTCGCGATTTTTTTTAGTAGGTATTAGCATAAACAGTTCGATATATTTAAGAGGACTTCAATTGTATTTACTCAATTATGTGTTGAATGAAATGTAATGTAATAAATAAACAAGTAGTGCCCGCGCTTAGGGCTGTGAGTAGAGCTAATATATTTTATACTGCGTCAATATCTATTATTTTTTATATCCGAGGCAATTTCCTTGATGTTTGGTACAAAATATAACATTATATATTTTATTACTTAATTAAGGAGGTGGCAGCCCTACTTCGGGTGTAAGATCTCAGGGGAATCCAGAGCGCTAGTTTCAGATAATATCGCGATACATTAACGTTTTACGAATTTTATTTTTATTGCATATTTGGGTGGACGAACTCACTGTTCACCTAGTGTTAAGTGGTTACCGGAGCCCATAGACATCTAGAACGAAAATGCAGTCACCCACCTTGAGTTATGGGACACACTAATAATACATGTCATTCATTAAATTAAGTAAATTACAATTGTTTTATGACATGTTGACATCCTTTATGATTATGAACAGAAAACATCAATACAGAGAAGTTACACTACGACAATTCGTATTAATCCAGTTCTTACTAAGTTCTAGAACAAAGCAGACATACAAAAATCGCAAACTTAACTACTAATACATCGCCTACGTTTTGGACGGCATTAATCTATCATACAAACACATATATACACGTTCGACTTAACTAATGGATTTATTAAAAAAAAACAAAAAAACAAAATAATCTACAATTTAACTAAATGCACAAAGAAAACTATGAAACAGGAAGACCGTGATTTTGATTATGAAACGATTTAATGTCATATGTAATTTTAAAGAACAATCTTAAAATTACTAGAGGTCCCGCAGTAGTCGAAATTCGACTATAATTGGAATTGTAAGTTTGTACACTATTATTATTGTATTTTATACTTCTATAATCACAAATTTCGCCAAGGCTACACTATAAAAAAATATTAATAAAGACAAACAGTGTTTAATCTATTCTCAATTTGACCAGAGACGTCAAGAACAAAAGTTTGACAATAAATAGTATGCATGTGTGTGTGCGTCAAATACGTGGTATGTAGTGTGTGTAATGTTTTCTTTATTGATTTAATGTATCTTTTATGTTTTATTTACAAAAAATATTAGCATTGTGCACTTCTTCTCTGTATTCTCTATAAGTGTAGAAAATTTCATACTCCTCCGTCTGCACAATTTTCGTAAAAAGGGATACAAAGTTTTTGCTTCACGTATTAATATATAGATTATTGGCCAGTGGTAAATAAGGTAGCAATCGCATCAACCCAGTCGCCTCAATATCGTTAGTGTTTTCCGTTCCACAGGATCCTGATCTTTATGGCTCAGACTACATAGTATTTTTTTGTGTTCATGAAATTGGCACTTCCGACATTATGGCCATGCTTGACCTGACCAAAGGAAAATACGTTGTGTTTAAGTCAAGTATATTATTATATACTATTTAGATCTGAGTTGCCAATATAATATTGTAAAAAGTTTTTAAGTAGATTAATTTTTGTTTACACCTTCAAATTTTAATCAAGCGAATGCCGACGATGAGTTTATTTTAAAATTAGTGTTTGTATGTTTGTCGGTGATACGGTGATTGTACATAGGATGTCACTCGCCCATCCTTTGTCCGTTTGAATTTAAACTTTATAAAGTTGTTGGTGGCTTTTCAGAGCAAGCTTTTGTCATTAAAGCTTCAATGTACAAGCGATGCGCGAGTGGTTTTATCATTTTTATTTTAAAAAGGAATTTGCCAATATTCATAGTTTCAACTTTGAAACGCGAAAATTATTATATGGAAGTCAAAAATGTTAATAAAATTACATATGAATTAAATTTCAAGACGATTGTTTTATCAAACAAAATTGTTTCACTGGCCACAAGTAACTTAAGTATTTTCATATTTCGTCTCAAATTTTTTAAAATCAATAATCGCTTTTATTGAGATCTTATTGTAACTAAGAAGGATACATTTATATTATTACTGATTGGCTATATTACGTCATTATGCATTTCATTAGTATGAAACATAAGTAGTAAGTACACAGTATGATTCAATTTTAAGACGAACCTACCCACATCTATTGGTTCGATACGTAACATCCCGAAGAAATAAACACATTAATTAATCAACAAACAAATCGCAAGAGGAACAAAATTATTTCTAAGACTAAGTACAGTTAAATTATTATACAATGTTTTTTGTTTTCTAACTGGGACTGGTCGTGTTGCTCCTTGGTTCGGATTTCACTGAAGTTCCATTGATTTTCGATGCAATACTGGTGGGTGACGTTTGGGCGCTGGCTATTGGAGCATTGGCCTGGCATTGGGCGCACGGCTCCAATCGTCTCGCCAACACCGCTTTCATTTTCAACGCTGGCCCCAGCTTCATCTGCAGCATTCCCGTCAAGTGGTCCTCGGTCAGCAGCGGGAGGCCAGCGCCGTCGATCCTCTGTTCCCGGAAGTTCTGTAAAGAAAAACGACTGTTATCGTCGGGAATGACTGTCGTAAAATGGAGGTGGAACGTAATTAGACGTGATCGCGGTCGGTTTGCCGCGCACCTGACTCGATGCTGTAAATTTGTACAGCGCCCGAACGATCTACATATTTGAGACGACGTAATTAATTATTTATTTTTGCTACCTTTGCTGATAGCCTTGAGAGGCTATTTCAGCTTCACCCTAACGTGTAGGTGAGCTAACGGGTTAACACAGGACTGTTGCTAACACTGGTCCTAGCAAGAGCAGTGCAGAATCTACCACCGGATCGGAATTTTGTACTGGTGGTAGGACCTCTTGTGAGTCCGCGCGGGTGGGTACCACCACCCTGCCTATTTCTGCCGTGAAGCAGTAATGCGTTTCGGTTTGAAGGGTGGGGCAGCCGTTGTAACTATACTGAGACCTTAGAACTTATATCTCAAGGTGGGTAACGCATTTACGTTGTAGATGTCTATGGGCTCCGGTAACCACTTAACACCAGGTGGGCTATGAGCTCGTCCACCCATCTAAGCAATAAAAAATTAATAAAATAATAACGCGACCCAGTGAGAAGATCGGACGAGAAACTTAGTGGGCTGTGTGCGACGAGACGATAATTATAAATTAATAATTTAAAAATAAAGTAACATCGCCTATGCATAGCATTACGATTTTCAGCTCTGATACGTCGTATACATTGTTGCGTTTCTTATTGTGATTAAGTTTTGATTTCATATGCATGTAAGGCAATAAAATAAGTGAAGTAATTCCGCCATTTGCATGTAAATAATCGACGTTAGCAACGAGACTAGATAACTTCTGATCTTAGCTTAATTCGAAACGTCTACTGTAGAGTAGTTCAGTTCACGAATAGGTCGATTAAAGTCGATGAAATGTGTAATACGAATATCTAATAAGCGGTCGACCGTCGCGGCGTCGCGGAATCGGATTTAAACGGGAAAGTATCAAGATGGTTCGCGTCTCGTCTCTGTCGGGTCGCTGGACGCTGCGACCTGTCATCTGCGCGGGAACGTTGACAAAAACCGCGCCGCCTACTTGACGTGCCCCCCTCCCCGCCCCTCGCCGGGCCGCGCTCACCTCACACCGACCACTTTTTACCGTGCGACATTTGCCCGGAGTTCGATCCGTGTCATCCGACGTATTTCTTTTTTAAATTGCGGCGGCGTTCGATTTGTTTTTTTTTTTTAATTTTACGAGGCTTCGGTGCGTTCGCGCGGCTAAAAAACGTTATAAAAAAGGCTCTATGAATAATTAAACCGAGATGGCTACCGGCTAGATGATGGGAACGGACCTCGCGGCGACGGTCCGCCGGCACGTCGCCGTACGACAGGTCAATTTGCGGGGCTCGTTTTGTTCCCTCCGAGATCGCCATTAGCGTTATCCCGCGCTCGGCAGCAAATCTACTTTTATGCAAATTAATAACCATTTCGCTCGAGAGCGGAGATTAGAAAACTGGTCGCGGTTAAATGGAATACCGGAATTCGAAGTGAAGGGTCCAAGTGACCCGAACGACCTTCGGACGTTTCGCTTCGAGGGCATAGTTAAGTTTAATGGGGGTTAGACGCGGCTCGGGTTAGTGATGCGGTTGCCCCCGGGGGTCGGGAGTCACTCGCGCCCACTATAAACGAACCTCGAATGATATTCGAGAAAATTGTTTAATTGGGGGTCAAATTACGGGTTCGGAGAGCGCCCACAGACTGGTTTAGTTTAGTTTGACCTTTTTTGTTGAAAGAATTAGACTGGTTTCTTATTACGTATCATCTCATATGAGTTCTGAGTATTCGGTCGATTTTTTTTTGTATATAATATTTTTATCTACATATTTAGAAGTAAAAGCTTAACATTAGCATTTGTGTATTGAATATAATTTGCGTAAAATATCCGTAAATCTGAATATTTATTTCAAAACAATTAATGCTATTTTTGAAATATGTACCTATATGAAAAAAAAACCTCAGAATTTGTTATATGGACATGTATTTGTATGTGTGTAGGTATTTCCGAATACAAATTCTCCAGCATTTACGTATTGTTATAAAATGTAAATACGTTGTTTAAATAATCCATTTGTCTATATTTGTTCCAAAAAAAGTCTAGTCATTACTAACTTATTGTAAGCTCTGATTGGGTGGTAAAAATTTATTTGAAAAAATGTTTTATATTCTTCTTCAAAATACGAGTTTATATTTCATTTGCTACAGATTTTCATTTCTACTGGGTAGGTACTTAGCAACCAATATTTACATCGATATCATCATATTAATACAACATCATCATCATTATCCTGCTCTTCTCCCAGTTACCTGCGGTCGGCGCAACATGTTTTCTCCTTACATACTCTTCTATCATATACCATTTCTTCGCTCACTCCCCTCCTACCCATATCGTCTTTCACACAATCCATCCATTTCTTCTTAGGACTACCTCTTCCTCTAAATCCTTCCACATTCATAGTTAACACAGTTATTAAATTAATACAACATCGAATTCTAATTTAAAATGACGTAAATTTAAAGAAGAGTGTAAAGTGATTGTGGCGGGCAAAGTAGAAGGAAAGAGATCCCGCGGCCGATTACCTAGCCGTTGGTGTGACCAAATAACCGCTCTAACTGGGTTGCCAGTCGCAACCGCCATTCGAGAAGCTGAGGACCGGACGAGATGGAAACAGCTCACGAGACAGGCCACGGTCAAGTTCCAGGGACACGACCTTCAGTAATGAAGAAAGCGACGAAGAAGAAGAATAAAGGCTCGCCATCTCTTTCGCACACCTTTAACGGTGACGTCACTATCAATATCCGAAGTGATCCGAATCCTCTTTAGTTATCGGTCAATTAGCGCCAATTACCGTTTTATTAATAATAATTTTTTTATTTTTGTTTTTGACATCTATTTTTTTTTAATATTTTTTTTTAAGAGAATAACCGCAGTCAGAAGGTTGCTAAGGACCGGGTAAAGTGGAGGAGTTTGTGTTGGATAATGGACACTGGCAATAAACTGGAAAAACGCTAGGAAGAAGAAGAATATATACAATGAATCAACTAGTATGCATCCCATGATGATATTTCGACCTCGCTCAGAACTAATGTAAATTGATAACGTTCAACTATATGTTATTATGAGTACCTACGCGTATGAAGGTACAAAGTCGAGTTCAGATGCTGTGTAGCCTGTGGCCATGAACTGTGGATTAAGATGCGTATACACAGTATTTAAAAAACGCTGCGGTTGTGAAAATATATTTTTTCCCGAAATTGAATAAATTTTGGAGGAATTTGATTATTGTTGTATTGAGCTGTGGTTGTTTGTATACTAACTAATAATTAATAAATGTGGTCCATTGACATCATTAGTGGCTCGAGCATGAGAGCTCCGAGAGAGCAATAATATAAAAGGGATATTGTGAACAATATTTATTATTAATATGAATCCATTGAGCTTAATTTGATGAACAGACTAAATGTCATTGACATGTTTTTCTGTCTACCTTCCAGATTCATTGAGAGATCAGCTAGATGACATTATTGTTGTCACCAGTAAACATGAAAATTCTGGGAAATTTCTAGAAATGTTTCAGTTTTAATGAGAGATTCCATTACATTCGTATTAATACGTACTAAACGTAAAAACTATGTTTCATAGATTTCATATGTAAAAAAAGTTGGGTGAATAATTTATTTTAGTTAAACCTCATAAGCAACGTTCGCGGTATGAATTGAATTACTTATAAGCTATTTATTTTTAGCAGTACATAATGAGCAAAAACGTATACACCAATATTGAATTCGAAACATTGACATTATAAGAACGATGACACACGGACGCATAATCGCCGCTGTTTCTTGCGCGCGCAGTTTCAAGTGTACAAACACTAAATTGCGGGCTGCAGCCGTCCCGACAGGTTGTGGGGGAGCAAAAAAGGTTAAAGTATGTTCCTTAAGGGTCGAGGGGCCGGCACAGAGCGGGGAGGGGGTTAATGACAGGGGCTGCGCGGCGCCTCGGGCCGCTACCGCGCGCAAATTGATGCCTGCCCCGCGTCGAACCTTTGCTCCCGGCTAGTGATGCCCGTAGTCGATAAATAGTGACAGCCGCGTTCCCGCACCATGGAATTATGGCCGTTTATCGTACGATAATTATTTGCGCGCTTGCAGTGGAGCCCGGTGAGTTATAAGCGTGCTGTTGTTTTTTTTTATGCTTATTGTTTTAAGAATGTTGCTATGAGCAGTCCTAAGTCTGAATCGACGAGTAATGTTAAAATTTTAATTCATATAACAGTACACTTAATTTTTTGGTATCTTTAATATAATAAAGGTTGTAATAATTTACCAAAAGGAAAGCGAACTGTCGTCTGTGAACATATTTGACATTTGGAGCACATGCTCTACTCTCGTATGGATTCACAAGAAAAACCCTAAGCTTGGGGCTGTGTAAACTTACTGTGTGCCAACTTATGATCAGATTGACTGGTAAGTACATCTTGCATCCAACTTAATTAAGCGTCGCTGCTAATATTACAAAAAAATAATCAGTTCAAGAAAATTAAACAATGATATTTCGACAGCCAATCGTAACCTCTTCAAATAAAAACAAAAACACCGTGAGATAATTGCGTCGATTGACGCACAATTATTTTAAATAAATATTAAATAGAACAAAGCGGTCACAACATGCAATTTTCCTATCACCTAATAACGGTGTATCGATATCGATAATAGATGTTCCGATAACATCACTATTGTGAGGCCCGCATTACACTATAAAGATTGGAATTAAGTTTAAAGCGTGGTACGCACTGGCTTATATTTACTGCTGACGGTGTGCGGCTGTGGGCTCCGTCGTAATTATTATCTTGGAGCACGGTCATTTCTTTGTTTTTATTTTTTTTGTTAGATTTAAAGCCATGTACTCATTTTCGGATATGTAAGACAAGTCGTTCATACCTTCCCGTGTTTAATGACGAGCGAATTTACTA